GTCAGTCTGGCTGTGAACGTTCAGGAGTTGCTACCTGTACCTAAGTTGAGCTGTGTGTGAAAAAGTGAAATACAGTGTGGAAATTATTGTCATTGCCTTTTCATTACGACATTATCAAGTTATAAACCTCTAGGAGACAACAATATAATTGATATTTCTTAAAATTAATTCCAAGTGTAGAACAAACACGTGTAGAATTTTATAGTTGTTCGTTATTCTTATAATGACTTCTTACTTAATCTTATATCTACACATCCATTTTGAATGAATTTTGCACCATCATTCTCTTTATTATTTCTCCACATGTATTTTATTAATCGGTTGATTATTATAAGGGGAGCGGGGGCTAGTTGTAACAACTGTGGTCTCCTGACTATAAAAGCTTACTTGTTTGATATTTAGTAAATCTAGCATTACTATTCCAGTTAACAACTACTCAACTATCGATTTAAAATAATCAAAAATGTAAGGACTCTTTGTAAAAACTGACGAGTGTTACAACTTACCCCATGATTCGGGCTAATTGTAACGGGCTAGGAGCAAATTGTAACATTAGGAATTGAAAACCAGGTTCATAATTTTTAATGATTTATTTTGCAATAATTTTCGATTTTACATATAAAAAAATTACTGAAAAAATATTCTTGTGTTTGTACGGTTGTGGTACTATTATTTTTCTCAACAAAAGTACTTCAAGTGCTTAGAATTTAGAGATTAATCTATTAGAAGGCGATTTTTGCAAATCAATTTTTTTCTTCTAATAATAAAATTATGTTAAGACCAAAGAGAGAGAGAGAGAGAGTTGTTAAGATATACCATATGTAATAGTATACGGTTATCTCTATATTACTATTACAATTGATTCTTAATAACGTTTTATGTTTCAGACAATAAATATTCGTATGTAAATAAATCGTCTATTGAACAGCAGATATAAAACATTTATAACTTGGGGCGGGTCCAGATTCTATAAATTAGAATTCCTAGTACAAAAGCTAAACTTTCCATTTAGCAATATATTCTAAACTCTCGTTACAAAGAAGTAATAAACGTTGGAAAAGACACATCGCATACACGCCTATTCATAGGTCTCTGGCACACTGCAGCCTTTTATGGAACGATAATATCTTTTTGTAGAGAAGTATATTCTTTTTGTAATTATAGATAATTTTGCCAGTATAAAAAGGTTTCTGTAACAAATTCTTCAATGCTTAGTCACTGTTTGAAAGTTAAAAGAAATTTTCGTATATTTGACAACTACACTCAAATTAATTATTATTTGTTATCATCGAAACAAATGGTAATAAACCAATGAAGAAAAAATAAAACTTAAAATTTAATCGATCAATCATCAAAATAAAATATATGCATATCAGTTATATAAGTAGTACAAGTATAGTGTGTGAACGCAGCTTTGTGAGTTTTACACGAGCGCCCACGACGAAGGAAACAATAAAACGCAGGCAAATCGCTCCTGCTAGGTAACACCTACTAATAAAAATTCCACCAAATCAATACGTTCTCTTTTACGCTTTTTGTATTGTATTTTATTTTGTTATTCGCCTCCGAGTCGTGTAAAAGGGACAATTCTGGGATCTAGTCAAGTTGTAGGAAGACTGTTGGGATTTGATACTTTCAGCTTGGCTAGCAGGCTAGGCTAGCTATAAAACATTTTACGTTACTACCATTAAATAAATAAATTGATATATTTTATTATTGTTATATTATTTTAAGTATTTTTTTTCTGCTACGCTTTTCTTGTTTAAATAAAATGTCTTTTATAATATTGTTATCAGAGTAAAATAACGAGTTAGTTAAATATACGTGATGATCATGGCGATAAATTGGATATATGAGCCTCTTATTTATATATTTTTTCAATTATTATGTCCACGCTTGTTTGCCTTATACCTCATCTAAAATATTAAAATATAAACATATAGCAAAATTAACTTAATGACATTAAACAACTCAACGTATGTTACATATTAATAGATGATAAATCAATGAATTTATGCATTTATACGCTCAATGATGCAGTAGTTAGTGCGTTTGATCTGTGATACGGAATGTGATGTGATACATAAGCAAATATCACAAGAGTAGTAATTAAGACTAAAACTTTACTATCTCGAGATCCTCCGTGCTTCGGAAAGTTCGCTAAACCATTAATGCTGGTTACATCTGCAAACGATTACACTCACCAACCTGCACTAAGCCTGTATGATGGCTCATGGCCTATTTGATTCCATGCACGAGGCATCGGAAAAATTGATGATGACATAATTTTTAAGAGGGAGAGATTGCAGTTTCTTATAACAACGGCGTTCTCCTTCTTTTAACTGTGTGGCCATTTTAGGTGAAATAAAGGGTATACTTATGATTGAGATTTTATTTGCAGCCCCAGATCTTGTCTGTACCTTGTTCTCTATTTGACTGGTAGAGAATGCTTAATGCCATTAAGTCCACCTTTTGAATAGTTATGCATGCAATAAAGCTTAAACAAATAAATATTAATATGTATTAGTATTAACATTTATAGTAATTGGAAAATTTACTAAAATTTCCATGACCTTAAATAGATTAAAAAGATAAGATTTAGTTTTTATCCGTTAATATGTTTACTATTAGTTTATCAGCGCTAGAGTTCTGTAAACACTTTATTTTCAACATTAAAGGTAACTAATGCCATAAATTAGGTAATTATATTTTATTTGCAATTAGGTACCCATATAATTGAATCGTCATTGTTAATTGTTAAGTTTTTTCCATATAACAATAACATATTTATTCCGCCTTAATTTATATTTGCTCTCTTGGTTAGAAAAATAACCTTATTTATTATATTTATGAAGCTTTAACAAACAAAGAAATATTGTAGATATCATTATTAAATTAATGTACAGTCGACTGAATGTCAATCAAATTTCCCCACTCGATTTTAAACCTTAATATATTGAAGGTAGACATACCACAAATTTGACTTATTGTGGTAACCTGACGTGCAGCCATGTGTACAGTATTTATTCGATGAATTGCATGAGCTTGCACAACATAGTATATTAATATATTTATGGGGATACATACTTATTAACTTCGATTAAATAAAATCTCATTTCTTTTACATTACAAAAACAGCTAGCAAATAAATAAACATTGAATAAAATTAATGAAAAATTATATGCAAGTAATTGTAAAAGTATCAAACTAAATACTCCGTTGTACTCAAAAGGAATACACGTTGAATTCCCTGTACTGTCCTTGCGATTTGCATGCTGTGTTTCATGTGTGCTATGAATACTCAACAGAGATAGTCGTGTGCGTCGATTAAGGATGTCAATACTAACTTTGTTAACAAAAATTAATGAGTATCTTCAATGTGAATTTATGAAAAGGTGCTGTGGTGCTATAGTTATTGTATTGTATTGAAGTTTAAAAACATCTACCGAGTAATACAAACATAAGTGGAAAACAGACACCAAGGTGCTATAGCCTACTTTTGTACAACAAACATATCGATATCTGGATAACTGTAGGAGAAGAAGGATATCCATTAGAAAATTAAAAACGCTGAGGAGCAGTAACAACTTTATTTTAAAACTAAGAATATAAGATTAATTTTGAATTGAGATATCAACATTATGGCTTAAAATTGATTGGGGATTACTATTCTTTTATCATAATGACATGCTGTGGACTGGAAATCGCAAGTCGTCATAATATTATTAAGGACAGCCCTAGCAACGATTGACATAAAGGCATTAAAGCGAGGGTGTGAGCCGCTCAGCGTTTAGCAGTATTTATTGGCACGTACAAATTCGGCAAAAATTTCCAATAAAAGTTCGTCCCGTCCGGGAATCTGGCCGAAAGAATAACGTTTAATTTGTCCCCAAACGAGATTTATACTGCCCTTGGAATTAAAAAAGAATTCTCCGGGACTCGTAAATGCTAATGCGAACAGAATATTGAGAATTCACCATGTCGACATTAGCAGAACATGAAGATAAAGGTTGAGCTGGATTTTAAGATTCTTTCAATTGTTACCAGAATTATGTCAATTATTATTTCCTAACCTGACACTTTTAAGTCCATTTTCTAAGATTTTTTTTGTTTGATGGTTAGTTTTATTCCCGCATTATATAGTTTTTCGTGTGAAAGATTTTTTTAATCGACCCAGTAGTTTTAAAAGTAAATTTTAAAAGTAAAATAATAATAAGACCATAGTAAATAATTAATTATATTATGCCATAAAAACAACATTGCCTATTCTAAAGATTTGGGTATAGTGGGAGATTAAACATTTTCATTTGCAAAAATGCAATACCACTTAGAAAAATATATTGTATAATGATCATGACCAAGTGCCTTTTGGTTTAATGTAGAAAACTATTTCTTTCATATTGTCTACAGTTTTAATCACAGAGCAGAAAAAAGATCAACAACACCAATTTCACAACGCAAATCGAATGAATGTATGGAATATATAAATTTAAGAAATATATATTAATAATTTAAAATTCAAATTCACTGAAGCAGCTAAGCGTGACCACTGAAATCCTTGTATCAAACTAAATACTGTGTAGTAAAAACTATGTCCAACTAGCCGACTGTCCGTTAGGATTAGTGGCTCGACAGGATTGACACATGCCACCTGCTTGCTAAAAAGGGACAGGATTAGTATTTTATAGCCTTTATCTAATGTGTTCGTACATGTCGTAAGATGACATGAGGTAAGTAGATTGGATTTAATTAAATATATAGAGAACTTGATAGTCGAAGAGTTAGCAATAAGAAGTATCTCGTATTCGAAGTTTCATCAACAAGAACACGTCACTAGTAGTAACAAAACATTCATGACTCACACGCTTCGTCATCACAAAACGAACCTTAATCGCACGACCTTAAAGTTAACTCATCAAAATCATCGAACTATATTCCATTTGAGTCATGAACATTGGCCAATAAAAGCAAGCTCTTACTCACGGGAAATATTTGTAGACAGACCATTCGGACGCAGTGACACTGTAGTACGCACGATCATCGTCAGTGCTTTAGCAAATTTAAAAAAAATGCAGTGGTTATGTTTTCTTTTAATGGTGGCAGTCTCTTACGCCAGTGTTCCGACAACAAGATTAGTGAAAAAAACAGACGGTGTTATACCATCTCCTGTTTTAATTAGTTTAACGGCTATAGATCCTACTGGATTTAAACTAAGATGGCAGCCAATCAAGGGTGCTATAGCGAATTCTATTCTAGGGTACAAGGTTAGTACAATATTGTATAATATAATCTTATCTTCTTCTTAGGTGCTAGTGGAGGTCGGCAGTCAGCTTCTCATATTCTGTTGTATATGTTCTGCAACCAAAACTTTCTCCTACGATCAGATCCCCATTTTCCAGCAATTTTTCCCATCATAATTAGTTGCAACATTTCGTGTTTGGTGAAACCACGGCGAATGCCGCGTCTTCTCTCCCGACCTCTCATTCGTACTGTTTATACTTCGCATGCACCCACAGTACGCGCAATGCGTCTGATCGATGACATGCTCGCTCATCACGAGATATCTGATTTATTTGTGAAAGGTGTAAGACAACTTATAGCTATGACTAGACAATTTCTAAATTTTAAATACTTCACGTAGCAGGATATAGTTGACATTATATGTAATCATACTGACATTAATTATTTTGATTGCCATGTATTGTGGTGTTCCAAATTGTAATTTATTTTCTAATATTAGCAAAGGTTTCATTTTATTATTTTTAGTTATTTTATCATTTAAATTTTGACCCTTTTTAAGAGATTTATTGAATTTTAATTTGACATTTCTTATTATTTTAGACATTTTGTATAACTTGCATATGTGTTGGACTTAAAATCTGTGAACTTGCAAGTGTATGTATAATAATAAATAAATAAATAAATAAATATCTGTCATGCCTAAGGACATGCCCTAGCTAAGAAACTATACGTTGCTTGATAGTTTGGATTTGGAGCCTCACATCCATAGAAGTACATAATTGGAGAAAAATAGCATTGGAGGAGTCGAACCTGAAGTTGAATTTTAAATCGTGATTGCAGAGCACATTTTACATTTTCAGGAACGCACTGCGTGCGATTTCATATCCAGTTCGTATTTCCATAGCGCTGACCCATTTTTATGTTAACCGGGTTTCTAGATATTAATATTTACTCACTTGATCAAGCTTTCGACTATAGATAGATAGATAGATAATTCATTTATTTGCATTATAAATCAGCACACATGCATTATATTTATTTTTATTACAATAAAAAATCCGCTTTAAGGTGTGCGCCATAGCATTGCAAACGGGTATAAGCTCAACGATTCCTTTGCTCAGAGAGCAAAGCGCTGATTTTCAACCTTTACCCATAGTATTAGCACGGTCTCAAACAATAGCGTCACTTTGATAGGATAGTCTAATTATAATTGGATTTAATTATTAATGTCACACGTGTTATAAAGGAATATAATAATTCATTCAATTAATAGATAGATAGATAGATAGAATATTCTTTATTGTACACACAAAGACAATATACACTTATATGACAAAAACAGGAGACGTACAATTGGCGACTTTATCACTAAAAGTGATTAATCAAAAATTGCAAAAATTATAATTGTGAGAAAAATAGATATACATGAAATATACATAACCATCATCATGCGTCTGTTGGAGTTAATTCCCAATATTTTCATATAATTTGTTTTTTGCATGACAATCAAGATGTTAGTAACCTTACTGGTGGTGGTATATTATTCCCGTATTTTGTCGCTTGATAACGGAAGTTACCTCTAAACGCAACAGTTTTATGCTCTTATGACATTATGAATTACAATCTGACATAACATTGAATATTAAAACCATCAAAAATGTTAATTCAAATTTGACATCATATTATCACGATACTAATTCTATTAGCCTGTATTATTTATTGATTTTATATATATTATTTACTTTCTGACATTATTATAACATTGACCACATTTCTATCTGACATGCTTCTGACATTACATTATGTTTGTTCTTTCGACTCCTTTTCTTTGATTTTGACCCTGCTCGCCTCAGCTGTGGTGATGGCTGAAAATCAGTGCTTCACCGACATTTCGGTGATTTCAATGCACTGAGCCTAGACCCTTTCTCTCTGCTACACACAGGTAATGACTTATTCGTAGTTAATACCTTGTCTATAATGTCTTTATTTATTTTTATTCTCTGTATAATGTGGTTGTGTGTTGCATTTAGAATAAATTAATTATCTATCTATCTATCTATCTCTTGGATGACCAATGGAAACCTTACGGCTATTGGTACTCTCAAATCGTAAGTCAAAGTCAAAGTCAAAGTCAAAATAATCTTTATTCAAATAGACTTCTTAAAAGTACTTTTGAATCGTCCAACATTTTTTTCCCTACCACTCGTTCAGGACGTCTTTTGGCCGATAATAAGAACGAGCAAGAAACTCACCAGCTCTACTAAGAGTAAATACAGAATGTCTAGCAAATACTTCGGATTTTTTAACTATCTACAAATATTGGATATTGGGATTGTTGGATATTACCATGATTTTTGTCTCAACCATTCTAGTCTCTCCCATGCTTCTGACATGATCGACTCTGAGTAGACAAGCCTTATAAGACATTAATGAAATTAGATAACATAATCATTATTATGAATGGATTAGAAAAGTTAAGTAAAAAACTAAGAAAAATTTTAATAATTTAAAAACAGTCTAGACTAGGTAATTGTGTATTAGCACATTTTGATAGTTGGCTATATCTTATTTATCAGGGTCTTTATTTAAAACTATAAAAATATTACTATTGGCATGGTATTTTACAACATTTAACATCCTATAGATGGTTTAATGTAAAAGAATGGCAATAAATTTCATAAAAGAAATTGAATAAATATACAAATTGTTTTACAGGTGAAAATTTGGGAGCAACCGTTAGAGAAGGTTTACAAATACGAAACACTAAATGGCGTCAAAGTATTAGTCGAGAAATATACTACAGCTAAGGTAATTACGAGGAAAATGACCAAATATTAATATTTTATTTTCGTCTTTTTCCACTCCGGAATGATTATATGAATTCCTGTTGCATATATACAATGTACAGTTATTTGCCAATTACTAGCAACCTTACAGGACTAGATAAACTTTTAACACAACTTAATACTTTGAATAATAATTATTTTAATAGTAATTTTTTATTGAACTGTCGTGATAGTGATTGCTATATCTATGTTTTTTTATTATATAAATAAGAAGAAAGCACTATGTTTGCACTTAATTTGAAGTTCCTAGATATTCTTGTTGCGCATAGAGCTCTTTATGTTCGAACAGCAAATTTATTTTGATATGAAATTATAATGTATCTTATTATCAAAACTCTCATTCCGTACGGTGTTAGTTACTATCTATCTAGTCCGTCGAGGTTTATTTACGTATAATACTGTATAACGAAAACCCTCAGCATGTGAACTTATATTTGTTTATTAATTTAAATATTAATGTCTATGATGTTTTTGAAATGTTTCAGTAATACAAAGAAATTTCTATATTTTAAGGGCTTTAGCTAATTATACAATTGTTATATAAGAGTACATTACTTAGATTTTACCTATAAATTAAGTAACTAAAGTACTTGCATTAAGAAAAGCTCATATAGCGAAAGTAACACGACACTCAGACCCGAGAAAATAAAGTAAAGTTATTTTTTACTTTGACCCCGACTCCGACCAAAAATCGAGCCCGGGATCGACCTTAGAGATTGTGACCATGTAGAAACCCGCGAGCTACTCGGTCATTGAAGTCGCCACAGTCAGAACAGAAATTTCACTGTAAAATGACTACTTAGATCTTTTGAATTCCAAATTATTTTTGTGAGACAAATGATTATTTCAGCCATAATCTTTATAACTTTGTATGAAATATTCGGTTAATTCATAATCAAAAATTACGTTTTAGGCTTACGGAACTGTTTTTTTTTTATATATAATTGCTCTTTTTTTATTTCCTTGTTATTATATTTCTATTACATATATTATTTACTTCCAGTTCCCACTCGAGAGCCAAGTACCAGGCTTTGAACCGGTGAATGTAATACTCACTCAAGCTGATGAGCGTGAAGCTATAGGTCAAAATTTGAGAGTAGGCTTGATATACGAATTCAGAGTCCAAGCGTTCACTAATGATGGAGATGGTCCACTATCGGCGCCAATGAGACTAAAATTTTCATTACCAGGTGGAGTTCAAGGACATGCAAAGGAATCTACTCTTTCGAATACATCGGATTCAAATTAGTGTTATTATTTTTCTTATTCACTCGATGTTTAAATAAATAGCCTTTATATGTAAATATGAGAGTATTTTTTCATTAAAGTTACCTGTAGCAAATCTCAGGCCTCATAATGTCTGATACAAAAACAATACTACTTTTGCTTTACAATATTAATGTGGATTGTAAGACATTGTCAAAGACTTAAGAAATAGAACTCTAAAGTTTGTGAATGAATAATCTTACTGATTGAGGAGCTCTGTGGCATCTATTTATTAATAAGTTTGTGTTAGACCTTAGTTAATGATATAAAAAATAATTCAATTAGTTTACCTTAATAAGTGGTCCTATTTTTGTCTCTTACAATTACATAGAAAATAAAGTTTACGTGTTAACATTAATATTGTATTTCTGGTGTGTTTACCGCACTCCCATGTCACATTTTTCTTATATCTATACTAATATTATAAAGAAGTGAAGTTTCTAACTTTGTTTGTTTGTTTAATACCTCAAAACATAAGGCAGGTGTCAGTATCAATTTGTTAAGTCTACCTTAGCAGTTTCATCATACCACATACGGTGACGTTTTTTTTATTACTTTTATTATCAATTGTTATTTTTTTCGTCAGTAAAAATTCAAGTTTGTTATTAAAAATCTTCCAAATCCATTTTTGGGTTATTGTAAAAGACATTTAGTTCATTAATTTTTTATCTCTATCATTGCACCATACTAGCAATCATACCACCGATTTAGAAATCATATGATAAGTCAACGATAAGGCATGCTATTTAACTTCTAAACCATATGTCAAATCCACATTATAAGATTCACCATGAAGGTTTTCTATGTTTTACTGCTAGTTGCAGCTGCGACGTCCTCTATATTGAAGGCACCGGAGGACATTCCTGCTCCTCGTTTACTTCGTCTGGAGGCTTTAGATCCACCAGGATTCAGGGTCGAGTGGAATCCTGTGAAGAGCAAGGATGAATCTGATCCGGTTATAGGCTACAAGGTAAGTGTCTCTAAAATACAAATAAATTATGCTGTAACACATAATTGTTATATAAAGGTTTTATCGTTAACCGTAGCTGAGTAATCGGTACTCTTTCAATAATAACCACCTGATCTATTGAACTTCTTATAATGCAGTTTGTATGGGTGTTAATCCGAATATATATTATATACCTTTTAATAGAAAAAATGTATAAATATGTGAGCCACTTTGTAGTGGTCCGAGTGTCGCCTTCTCTGAGGTCCCGGGTTAGATTCATAGTCGGATCAATGTGGAAAATGGACTTTTATATATTGTCTAGGGTCTGGTTGTTGTGGCACCTTCGTTATTTCTGACACTCCATAATATGGAGGCCTTAGCTCTACTTATATTGAAATCTGAGCAATATAGTTATGTTATCTAATATATTACGTTAGTGCGGACTTATAAAATAAGAGTGTTTGCGAAGAATTAATCAGAAATTGATATTGGCGCGGAATTTTCCATTCTCTCTATCTCATTTGTATTACTCTTTTAACTTTTCTTTTTATATTTCTTTGTATGGTTTTTATTTTATTGACAGAATTTGAACTTAACCTATCTAACCTATCTGCATACTCTTTCATTCCAGGTGAAAGTTTGGGAGCAACAATCTATTAAAGTTTACAATTACGAAGTGATTGATGGTGTCAATATGCTGGTCGAGCAAACCATTTTAAGCGAAGTGAGTTACATTTTATTGCTTTACATATTTACAAGACATGGTTCTGCCGACTTTTTTGAAGAGATTTCCATACGACTCCATAAATGGACCGAGTAATGCACAAATGAGGCTTGTTTTATTACAGCATTATCTAAATTGATCGAAATGAAGCCGAAAATTATTTTGTTATTCTGATACAGAATGTTTTACTTGTAGTTTAAACATGTGTCAATGTTGGACTCTAATCACGATTAATCAATACATATATTAAATTCATAAAATGCTTATAAACCAACGAATAGTCAATCATCATTAGCCCTTTTACGTCCCCACTGCTGGGGCTCAATCTGGGGCGCGATCGTTGTTGATAACCTACTTTCGCAATGGTTGGTCACGGGATGGATGACCAAAAAATTATCATCTCGAGCTACTCCTGGCAGTATTCGTAGTCGTTAATACTCTGCAATCCAGCGTGGATGGTTATGGCCCATCCTTCTTAACCATCCATAAGGAAGGTCCTTATAGATGGTTAAGAAGCATCCTTCTTAATGGCCCATCGGCCATAACCATAAGGAAGGTCCTTATGGATGGTTAAGAAGGATGGGCCATAACCATAAGGAAGGTCCTTATGGATGGTTAAGAAGGATGGGCCATAACCATCCACGCTGGATTGCAGAGTATTAACGACTACGAATACTGCCAGGAGTAGCTCGAGATGATAATTTTTTGGTCATCCATCCCGTGACCAACCATTGCGAAAGTAGGTTATCAACAACGATCGCGGGCTGCGGCGCTTATCCAATTCACCACTGAGCTACTCAAATAATCAATGTTCAATCAATACATATATTGTTTTATCGAATCGATTAATGTAAAGTCCTGTATGTATCCTGTAAGAGACGCACAATATTTGTAAGACTAATGATAAAAAACTGCGCTACTTCATTGGTCATGGGTATTGAATCAAATATCTGTCAGATTCTTATAAATAATTTCAGTACACTACCACCTCCGTGGTCAAACCTCCATAATAAACCTACGAATTATTAGCCTTATTCGAAAGAAATCCTGTTATTAGGCATCTATTGAAAATGGCATCAAAATCCAATGCGTAATTATGAAGGGTTAAATGTCTGAGGCGAGTGGTGATTTTTAATTATAATAATAATATTATTTATTATATTAACAGTTTCCGAGAGACGATGTTCCTGAATGGGAGCCCACTGTACTTATGGTGGAAAGTGCTGCAAATCCAGCAGCTCAGTATAATAACGTCAAAGTGGGTGTACAGTACGAGATCAGAGTCCAGGCTTACTCCAACAAGTACGAAGGTGCATTATCCGATGCTATGAGAATAAAAATTACATAGTTGGACTAAATACTGCGAGGCGTGTTCAAAGGCATATCCTATTTCGATACATTAGTAATTTATTGAAAAGTGATAAATTACAAAATGAAAATAAATACGATTTACTGTTTTCCATTTAAATTCAAACTTATTAAAGTGTCGTTTTAATAAATGTTTGATTCGTGTTTTCGTTTTAATTTCTATTGATTTTAGTAATTAATTTCAATGTCAAAAAAAATCGTGTGTTGATGTATGTAATAATGTAGTTATGTTCAATCCCAAAAAATTCGCATCCACTTATATGGGTGAATTTTTTTTTGGGTGGCGCGGTTCTTGTTAGGCAAGCACGCACTTGAAGACGCTCAGTCCTGACTACCACATTTTCCCGTAGTGAACCAACTGTCGGCAGATCAATTAGGATTAGTCAGACCAATCCTAATTGGTCTGCTTATGTAACAGAAAAAAAATCATATTTGTAAGTATAGAAAGAAACTTAAAGATAAATAAGAGATGAAATAATAAAGATTAAAGTGTAGCAAATATCTGCGGTATGCTGACAGTTGTTTTGTCAACGTTGCTCACGTTACGTTGACAAAACAAATGTCAGCATACAGAATTCAGAACTTTATTTTGACAGATAAATACATTTTCATTTCATTTAATTTGATATTAAAATGTACCAAACATCAGTGATGGTCTGATTATCCTGTGGTGACCGGTTGTAAAAAGTAAGTGAAGCATGCATCGCTTACCTCAGCGAAATGCAATTAGATTCGTCTCGGGAGAGAGATGTGCCGAGCTTGTGGACCTGGAGACCCGGTCCATACTGATAGAACACAGCTTACACTTCAAAAAATGAATTGAACTTGTTAAAAACAAAACAATTTCTTTATATTTTAAAAGCCAAGTTTAAAATGTTTGATGAATAATTTATTTCAATAAAAAGCGTTTAAAAAATTATTAATAAACGTTTAACGATATATCTATAGATTTAGAACGAATACGAATTTAAAAGTTATATTTAATTTTATCGCCAAGCTATAAAAACCTATTAATAGTGTAAATTCACATAGTAGGCTACTTTTTATGACGAAACAAACTATGTACCTGTACTTAGCTTGACGTCTCACACCGCAATAAACATTTTTAATGTACCCTATCCCCTCGACTACTGATCCCCGAGCCTGATTTCCATATAAATTGTAGCTAACTCACGTGGCGTCTCTTACTTTTAACTGCCGTAACCGCACTCCCAGGGACGCTTTTGCTACGAGACCTACTCCGATAGGGCAGACGAAAAGTGGCAATGCCGCAAGGACCTCAATTATTATATAATAATTACAATAAAAATTATATTCTTATTATAGTATTATCTTCATATACGGTTTAGAGAACGAGATATAATCACGCTGACCCAATGAGGATTGGTAGGTGACAACAACTATAGATGCAGAAAGGACCAATAACTTAAAATGCCTTAGAGAGCGTGAGATAATATCTTTAATCACATATCCTCTGGCTGGTCTTTGAGAAAGTTGCTTAATTAAACATACGTTATGAAAGTGCCTCATGCTGGGGCCAATAAGAAAGTCAAAAGTTCATAAACGATTGATTCCTGCTGGGATCAATTCAGACAATGGACTTTTCTATACTTTTTCGGTTGTGAATGGTTTTAAAACCTTCGTCGTTTCAGATTTCCAAATTAAAAGAAGAATTTAAGGTAAGTCCCGTCTCATCATCGTCAGTCTTCTAATTTTAGATGTGACCAATGTACAAGATATCGGTTTATGTTTTTTAAATTTTAAGTTCTTTTTTACATATTTATATAAGAAAACCAACAGTTATAACATGATTGAGATAATTAAACAAATATAACTTAAATAAAGTCAATAACAGGTTTCCATAGGTATCAATAGCATTATCATCAAAATGTTTTACAGTAATTAACTATATAAAAAAACTGACATATTTACTGAACTTTATATAAAGTTACTCATAATATGTAGTTGAGAATAAACAATTAAGATTTATCAGAAAACAGGAGACAAATACAAGCAAATATGAATGTAAATCTTTCAAATTAATAAGCTTTACATCCATTTATTACCGAACGGATTAAAGACATGCTTTATTTCGATTGGAAATTATACAAATAAGATAATATGTTGTTACATAATGAGTCTATCAAACGTCGTTAGATGTAGAACCGATTCCAGATACAGAAGTACAGTGACATTGCTACGATTAAGGGAAACACATTCAAAATCGTTAATTGTCAATATAATTTTAAATATAAAATGAATAATATTGAAAAAAAATGTTTCACAGGCTTTTTAAAAACTGTGTGATATATTGTAAATTGTAGCTTGTAGCTGTTCTGTCCGATTAAATTGCCGACCCCTATTTATAAATAGATTCGACGACAAGATTTCGTCACCAGCCCTTTTACGTCCCCACTGCAGGGGCTCAGGCCTTCCTTATGGATGGTTAAGGAGTATGGGCCATGACCCTCCACGCTGGCCCAATGCGGATTGGAGGGTATTAACGACTGCAAATGCAGCCGGGACCAACGGCTTAACGTGCCTTCCGAAGCACGGAGTAGCTCGAGATAATAATTTTTCGGTCACCCATCCCGTGACTGACCCTTGCGAAAGTTGCTTAACGACAACGATCGCGGGCTGCGGCGCTTATCCACTACGCCACCGTCGTCGTCGCTACTCTACCCGACGACAAGATTATTAATTACCAAATAAAAATTTGAATAGCATATTCCTGGCACATACAGCTCCCACCTCCTCTCATTGTATCAGATAGTGGAACCTGTAATAATTTCATATTTTCCTGTCGACGTTGTCCACTTGGAGGGATGTCGCTTGACCCCACTCGTGCCAATCTAATTTGTAAGCCCCCTGGTTTGGATGATGCTTGTCAAAATAAGCCAATAGGGTATAAATAAGAATCGCGATAATTTTACATAATAAAATCGACATTATATATAACTTGAAAAATAATACTGTCTAGTTCTACTAAAGCCTATCCGCCACTTCATTTGGGACGCCTTAGATTTGGTATTGTTCTGTGCTGCAGTTACTCTTTATAAAATCAATTGATACTTATATTAGGTACTATAAAATAAATATTATATACCTAATCCGAATTTACACTACCTCCAAATATGACTACAATCTGCCTGACTACTATCCTTTAAATTTGCATTGTATTTAAATTGATTAGAATAAATTAAAATCATTTTCACACTATAAACAATATCGAATTGTCTGGTGTATATGGAACCGATCCAGACGTTGGTGCCAACGTTGGCTGTCAGTTATACGGCAGCCATCCGCCATGTTACGAGGGGTGAGATGCAGGTAACCGACGGAAAATCTAATTTGCTAAATTGAATTACTGCCCACCGACTCTAGAGATATATTTCTTGGCGTCCGACGTGTTATTGTATGAAAAACTCTATGGACGGAAGACATTTTCTCCGTCTCCTATTATTGTAATGGATATCGTCGTTGTGAGTGTTTACTTTTATAATACTCAATACACTCAGAATTTTCATTATTTTGTAGAAGATATAGAAAAAAATAACATATTTTTTTTTTTGTATTGACTCTGAAATAAGGACGTAGACAGTTGAATAGTGATGCTGGTAACACAACATGGAGACGTCTATGTTGAATTAATTTCTTCAACGATAGTATCGGCTAATTTAAAATTTCCTAGTTTTTCTTCAACTATAGTCTTATCTTTATTTCCCCAGTTTAACAACACAACCTTTTTGGTAATAAGAGCGATCGTTTAGCGAAGTCTCACTATTTATAATGGTTTATAGTTCAGGTATAATCAACAATCAACAATAATTAAATACCAACATTAACTTTTAAACTTTTGCGTCGCATTATGTTAGATTGTTTGAAACGGGTATTAACGGGATGGGTATGACGGGAGTCAGCCCGTGACCAGATCCGGTGCAAACCGGTCGAAACATAGGGAGATATAGGTAGGTGAAGTACCTAACTATCAATCTATCGCGTGAATACCCGTTTCAAACAATCTAATATAATTACATACCTATTTATAATCACATTCCTAATCAATAAACGTTGAGTAAAGTTTTAGATGTTGAAAAAATTTCTTTTAAATGAAAGAACTTCATTTCATTAAAATATACCGCTACCTTAGAGCCGCCATGATGTTTGCAATAGCGACAAAATATTGGGGACTCGATAAAATAAGGTAAGTACATGGTAACAATCCAGTAATTAGCGATCAATCTAATGTTAATTACCATGGAAACCAACTGACTACATAACATCAATAAAATAATGCATTATAGCTCGGTACCGTCACCAAAAATCCATAAATCTAAACAATATTTAATGTATCCTATAAAAATAATAGCAAGACCTATCGACGACTTAATTAATGACAAATCCGCAAACATCCAACGTAATTGCGAAGCAAAACTCAATCAGCTGATAATAATTTACTTTGAAAACACTCTAAACAACTGGCCCCGTCCGTTTTGTAAGGCACAACGGCATTTCTAAATCAAAACACGGCCCGTTACCCACGAGAGTGACTGCGGAAAATTGGAAAACGAACAAGGTGAAAAATATTATGAAGTGGAGCGCTCAAGTCTAGTGCACCCCCGAGGGCCCCGCCGCGGTACCGCGCCCCGCGCCGATCCTGTGCTACAGGGCGATTCTGTAAAAATTCGAACCCGAATTCGAATTCACTCATGTGTCTGAATTCTCGAAGGCTCATTAAATGACTTTAATGAAGAAATTCTATTGATCCCATTTTTTTGTATAAAAACAAAATTAATTTATTAAACGTGTCTCAGATATTCTATCCGTATATCACTTCACTTACGCCACGAAATGTTATTACCAATTCAAGATTGAGCTGCCGCTTTTGAAGTGAATTCCGACACCTGAGTGAATTCTAATTCGGGTTCGAATTTTACAGAATCGCAGGGTTGTTGCCACGCTTATACTTTTTAATTTTAA